CTGTGAGTTTTTGGCAATCCTACTGGTAGTGGCATGACCTTATGTTATTTGTTTCATGTAGAATAACTCCCTTGAGTATTTCCTGCAATGGAGGTTTTTCTAGTGATGAAATCCCTCCGTTTCTGTATGTCTGGGAATGTTCTTATTTCTCCTTCATATTTAAAGGATAATTTTGCTGGATATAATATGTGTGGCTGATAATTTCTCTCTTTCAGGCATTTGAATATTTGGTTCCACTCTCTTCTTGCTTATAGAGTTTCTGCTGAGAAGTTGGGTGAAATTCTGATGGGTTTTCCTTTGTAGGTCACTTCCTTCTTTTCACTGAATGCTTTGAGGATTTTTTTCTTTGTCACTAACTTTTGACAGCTTCATTACCAAGGGCCTCTTTGGATTGAGGTAACTAGGTGTTCTGTTTGCTTCTTGGATTCGAGGATCTAGTTCTTTCCATAGATTTGGAAAGTTCTTATCCACTATTTGTTTTAATAGACTCTCCATTCCATACTCTCTCTCTTCCTTCTCCACTATGACCATGATTCTGATTTTGTTTTTTGTTTTTTGTTGTTTTTTTTATGGAATCGGAGAGGTCTCATAGGGCTATTTTGTATTTCTTTGTTCTCTTCGTCTTCCCATTTATCTCTGTTCCAGTAGATGGCGCTGAATTGCAAGATTCCCCCCCACCCCCCACCCCCCACCCCCGTGGCCTCACAGTTTTGAGCCTCTGTGGCTTCCGTAGGGTTGTACTGCCTCTGCTGCTTAGGGGTAAGGTTTGTTTTTCCCTCATGGTAATGGCAGTCCCTGACCTCCAAGGGTCTAGCCCAGTGGTTGGCAAACTCATTAGTCAACAGAGCCAAATATCAACAGTATGATTGAAATTTCTTTTGAGAGCCAAATTTTTTAAACTTAAACTATATAGGTAGGTATGTTGTTATTAACTTAATTAGGGTACTTCTAAGCTGGCCTTTGCTAAAAAACGTCCTCAATGACCGACACCCCCACTTCTTCTAACGCCACTACTTCAAAATAGACTCGCCCAGGCCAAAAACCAACTTCTGCACATGGGCCACAAAGTTTCTATCGCACTGTAAGTGCGAACCCGCACGTGGTATTTTGTGGAAGAGCCACACTCAAGGAGCCAAAGAGCCGCATGTGGCTCCCGAGCCGCAGTTTGCCGACCACTGGTCTAGCCCAAGCACCCCTCCTGGGGCTCAGTCACAGAGGGAAACTGTGTTTCTACTGCAATAGCTCTTGGCCTACAGACAATACACTCCTGGAAACAATCCAAGGGCAATGGGAGTCTAATTAGTGGCAGGGCTCTGCGATCTACTTTCTTTGCCTGAAAGCCAGCAGCCAGGCCCAGCGGTGGGGAGTGGGGAGCGACTCTGTAGAGAGGCTGTCTGCTGACTCGCAGCTCACGCATGGAACTCAGATCTAATTCACAACATGCCCCTAAGGTTCAGACACTCTCTCACTATTTGTGTGCACCCACACAATGCCGCCACTCTAGTGGCTATTCCAACAGCCAGCCACTTGCTGGGTTAGCTCTCTGTTGGTTCAACCAGCTGAGGAAAATGCCCAGGACTGCTGCGGCCAGTTCCCAGCTGCACGGTAGACAAACTGTAGCCATGTTAGGCTTACCTCCTTTCTCTTGTCTCCCCACTTATTCCAAGGTTCCCACCCTAGTTATTCCAGTGTGCAGGTCTCTCAGGCATGCATCTGTGTTGAGCAGGAACTTCTTTGTTGAATGGTAGGTGATTATTTTGTTGAAATGTTAGGGGAAGAGGATAGATGTGCCCTTATGCTGCCATTCCTCTGATGTCACTCCCCCAATTTAAATTAATTTTAATTTAATTTTAAGTAGCCACAGGGGCTAGTGGCTACTATTCTGGAAATTGCGATTCTAGAAGAAAATTGACTAAAGAGAAATACTAGCTAAATGTAATGGATGAAACTTGGTAAAGACCTGGATAGAAAAATTAGTTATAAATGCTATCTTAAGGACAACAATATGGACTAGTATTAGACAATACCAACAATTGTTATTTTCTTTGGTGTGATAACTACTCATAATTCTTATTATTAAAATACTAGAGGCCTGGTGCACGAATTCATGCACGAATTCATTCAAAGGCCTGGGGTCCTTTGGCCTGGCCGGCGATCAGGGCCGATTGGGGCCAACCAGCCAGGGGGAGGGACTGCGGGAGGTTGGCTGTGGGAGTACACTGACCACCAGGGGGAAGCTCCTGCATTGAGCATCTGCCCCCTGGTGATCAGTGCAAGTCATAGCAACCAGTCAACTGGTTGTTAAGTCAACCAGTCGTTAATGGTCGCTTAGGCTTTTATATATATAGATGCTTAAGTATTAAAGGGCAAAATGTCATATTGTCTGTTGCTCAATTTTTAAATGTCTCTGTGGATATGAGATTAGAGGAGACTAAGGAGACATGACAACTAAATTCAAATGTATAATTCTTGATTGGACCCTAGAACAAATAAAGAACAATAATTAAATCTGAATAAAGTCTGTGTAGTTATTTAACAGGATTGTAACAATACTTATTCCTCACATTTAATAATTATACTGTGATTATTATGTTAGTATTAGGGGAAGCTAGGTGAAGGGTATATGGGATATCTGTACTATTTTGTAACTATTCTGTGAGTCTAAAATTATCTCAAAATAAAAAGTTAAAAAAAAATTGTTTTAAGTGTGTCAGGGTAGTAAGAAGCTAGGGAAAATTTCTGGGCAAGTGGAATGGGAAAATTGAGACAAGAAAATTAAACAAGGCCAAATAGTTTGGGCAGCTTGCAGCCAGACTGTGAATCACATGACCTTATCTTCCCCAACCAAGGACACTTGAGAGCAAATGGTTTAGACAGCTCCTCCCTAACCAGAGAATACATAGCTTAAATCACCCTTGCTTGGGAAAATAGAGAACAAAAACCAAAATAATGTCATTGTACCAGGTAAACAGAAGGACAGATAAAGTCTGGGGGACAAACAACAAAATCCCAAAAACTTTGGGATGGTATCACTTGGGGGATATTAGGCAGGAAAGATGGGTGCTAGAGCAGGAGGGGGGAAGGGGAGAAAAAGGGGAGTTTATCTCACCCACTAAACAAAGAAGTCCAGATGTATGTATAAACATGTATGTATAAACATTCTGAGATAAGCCACAACAATATAGAAGGAGACTTTGAAACTTAATCTGCTCCCCAAAATATTGGCAGGGTAACTTTGAAACCTATAGGGTGAAGGGTATAAAACCCTTTGATTCCCTACCAGGCAGGATGCTCAGACTAGCTGAGTTGCCCACTTATCTTTATGCCAGCTATATTCTTAATAAATTCACTTGCTTTGCTTCCTTAGAAAATTCACTTACTTTTCTTCCTAAATAAATTTGCTTGCTTTGCTTCAACACTGCTGTCTGTCACTCATCTGAATTCTTTCTCAAGAACTGAGGAGGGGAGAGCCCACTCAGGGGGCTCTCTGGTAGCATAAGAACTACAGGAATTTCACAGGAAAAGTGCAAAACTGTTTACACGGTTGGGTTGATAATGCCTCTAGGGTCTGTGCTCTGCCTATCCCTGTAGCATGTTTTCTCCTCTTATTCATAGTATCTAGTAACACAGAATTTCTTTGCAATAGCCTCGAGCCCTTTGCACATGGTGAGTCTCTGCACCCCTCTCCCCACACACTCTTCTGGGGATAATCACTTCCTTACAAAAATTCTCACTCTACCCACCCCCAAGCCCAGATTAATTTCCCTTTCTGTAAATCCCATAGCACTCTTGGCTTTCTCTTTTGTTGCATGCATTGTTCTTGTTATTTACTTGGCTGATGACTATAAGGGAAGGACCACTACTGTATCAACAGTGTGGGCAAACATCTTCATATTTGAATAAATTTAGGGAAGTACTTGAAAAGTTGGTGGAATCAGAGTCATGTGTTCATAATTTCTGACTATGCATTCAATATTTACTGAGGCACCAGAATGCAGTGGTTAGTCAAATATACACGGTTCCTACTAGACTGGGAAGATGAGTTATTTAAATAAGATTAGTGACAACTGTGATGCATGGCAGGAATGGTCATTCAACATTGTAGAAGGATGTCCAGATAGGTTTCTGTGTTCTATTTTTATTTCTTGAGGGGGAGGCCCTCAAAGTCTCTTTCCTTCCAAGACTACCTATCAAAAGTCAAGGGAACCCTTTCCCATAAAGCTCCTCTTCCCAGTCTTTGTGGGGGTCACCCCATGGACACTCTCACAGCAGAACAAGTGATTCCTAGTCTCAAGTGGGCAAGTTGAACTTCTGACTGGGGGAACCCTGATTTTCTAGGCCTCAGCTGGCCCAGAGATATCCCCTCAAACCCCCTCAGAGGAGTTTGGCTAGCTCCTTGGTAAGCTGTTCAGTCATTCAACAAACTTATCTTTTGAGCTGTGTGCCAGGCACCTTGTAGGAGCAGGGGCTAAAGCAATGAATAAAAGAGACAACACATCTGACCTAATGGAACCTAGAATCTAGTGAGGAAGGAAGTCAATAATAAGAAAAACCAGTAAAATCTAAAAAAATATTTTAGGCAGATAAGTGCCAGAATAAGAAGGAATGCATAATGCATACACATGTATGTTTGTGGCAAGGTGAACATTTCCAATGGGGCAGCCAGGGAAAACTTCATGGCTTTTGAGTGAAGATGTGAAGGAAGGAAACCAGCTTTGGGGATGTCTGGCATTCTAAGACAGGAGTGAGCCTGCCACCTTCAAGGACCAACAGGGAGGCCTTGTGGCTGGAGCTGAGTCCCAGATGGGAAGGGAACTAGGAGATGAGTCTGAGAAGCCAGTCACATAACCCTGTAGGTCACAATGGCCTCTTTATGAAAGAGAGGGCAATGTTATGAAGTTCTCATACTAACTTCTCTCACACAATCAATGCAGTGCCCAACTTTGTTATTCTCTGCCCTGTCATCATATAATAAGCAGTCAGTCAATTTCCATACTTACTAGGTTCTATTGGAGTTCCACAGCCAGCACAGAAAAAATTCTGGGCTGCTACCACGAGATCCCTCCTAGGTACAGAAAACAGTAAGTTACATTTCAGAAAAGGCCAATGGAGCAGTTTTCACTTATTGGAAAATAAACTGATGATACTTTTCTTGTCTTGGGGCCTTAATTTTGTCATTTTCCATTTGTGAAGAAATAGAATTACTCAATAGAGTTTTCTAGTTGAAATCCCTGGGTCACTAAAGCAGAAGTTAGTATCACAAGTAACACTTCCACCAAAATCTTTAGAGACTTCACACTGCACATGCACAGGATCCTCTCTCCAGAGAGAACTAAAGATAGGCAATGCAGGGAGAAAGTTCAGGTAGACCAGACATAAGAGGTGATTGTATTTGGGAAGTCCACAAATGGATCCAAAGAAATTTAGACAAATAAGGATAATGTAAGATAAAACTATACATTTCTGGGGAGAAACCATCTAGTGAAGTGTTTTCTATTGAACTGTTGGTGCCATGACTTCACATGTGATTTGGAAATACAAAATAAGTTATAAAATTTTATTATAGTTTAGGGTCAGCAAAATTGGTCATGGCAAAAATATGCAGAACCCTACCCATGTGCCTTTTCTTAACTACAGGAGCTCTCCTCGAGATTAAATTTCTATAAAAAAAAAATTCATTGATTTTTATTTCATATTGCACTGAAAAATAGAAGGATCCAATCTTTTTAAATTATTGTATATGATTTTTCAGGTTCAATATTAGCCACTAAAAATAGTCCCTTTAGCCTATTTCAGTTGCTATGTGATGTCGGCAATTAAGAACACAGTGAAAATTTCAACTTGTCAAAACTTACAGAGCCCCTCAAAAGCAGGGTGCCAAGAAAGCTAACTCAGAAAAATATGCCCAACCAACCTTTTCCTAAAAAAAAATTTTTCTCTGTCCCTCAGTGTATTACTTTTTTCCTTTTCCTACTTTCAGAGCCAGGTAGGAACTGAGACAGTTTAGGGACTTGGGCCCACGAACAGAAAAAATACCAAGTGGCTAGGAAGACAAAAGGCCAGAGGAACACCAAATAAGCTGACTGCAAGAATGTCACCACCCCTCCACTCCCTACTTAAAAATGCAGAGGTAGCTGATTTTATTTTCTTATAACTGCCTGCTTCTTGCAGGTGTTGTAACTACTGACAACACTCAGTTGATCAAGGTTTGAATGCTGTATGACCTTCCTAAGGTGGTGGTAATGAGCAGTCTGCCATCTTACCCTCACAGCACAGGTGGGGACATAGTTACCAGACAACTCAGCTGAAAGTGAAATCACTCCACCCTGAAATAGAAATTATGCAAGCCTGCCTTTTTCAAAAAGAACTGCCTTTTTGCACAAGCCTGCTTTGTCCCCAGCTCATAAAAGGAGCCAAGCAGAGCCAGCCCTCAGAGCCAGTTCAGATGACCTTCCTTTACTCTGTGCTGCCTCCTTTGTGCTCCAACATAGCTTAATGAAATCTGCCTGTGGATGAAAATGGGCCACATGCTAACCTGACAAGCTCAGGGAAGGTCTGCATGGCAGTCTTGCAAACTCAGAGACTTAAAGTAACCCCAAAGGGTAGTCTGAAATTAAAACTTTTTAAAAGCAATTTATGGCAGATAGTCATGTCCTAAGCTAGACTCTTTCCTGACAAAAGTCAATCTTTACCTTAACTAAAGCTATCTATTGTATTTTGCATCTATGATAACAGACCTTTGGAATGTCAGGGTAACTCCCCCTGTTCTTCCAGACCCCTCAGGCACAACCAATACACCAGAGCAGAGACCATAAATCCTCTCATTGTTATTATTATCATGTTAATTGTTAACTGTTAACTATCCTATACCCACCTGTGTAAAAGATATATGAATCTATCATTTTACTTTTTATTCAATACCAGCGGTTACCCCTGCTTTGCTTTCTCCCACTGTGGTGAGCCGATATAGGGTTAAGCCTCAGACTGGCCTGTTGGCAAAGTCACAGGTCTTCCGAGTCTTAAACAACCCAATCCGAGAGGTGGCCACTGATTTACACGTGCTATCATTTAAAAAATGAAAAGGGGGAATTTGCCAGAAGCCGGTCCATCCTTGCTGCTAGACACAGTTGCTGCAGGGAAGAAACATCTGCACAGCATATGTTTCAAGGGACCTGGCATATACGGCATACTGTTCTTAATATGTTTGCTCCCCTTCTTAGCGCTATGTGTTTTAACCAAGGTCACCTCTCCGAGAAAGGTTCTTTTCCCAGGTGGGGATTTTTCCCTGGAGTTAGGGAGTAACAGGACTAAGGAAGGGAATAAAACCCCTTAACTAAGTGCCAGGCGGGTAATTAATCACTTTAACTACGAACAATCAAGCTTAAGCTACATAATCTTAGGATAATCTCCTTCAGTTACTTCCTTGTAGCTTAACAGAACAGTAGACTGGTGACCTTGGAATGGACATAACAAATGCCCTAACCTTTGGAATAGAATGGATAGGATTTAAATCAAATGGTATAAATACAGATGTAACAGGAGAATAAAAAGAGAACCTCGCTATGCTGATCAACTGAACGCTGCCTCCGTGTCATTCCTTCTTCGCCGACTCTGTCCACACCTTTGGGAACCCCTGGACCTGCTGGGGCTGGACCCCAACATCCCACCTCCATAATCTATCACCAATGGATTTCATGTAACCCACTTGCTTCTTCTCTTTTGATTGTAATGTATAAAATAAGGTGCAAAACTGCCATTCTCTGGAGTATTATCTCAATCCATTGATATTTGCATTCTGGCAATTGTCAACAGTTTGGCTCAAATTAACTCAAAATTTTCTATAGGTTTGATGTTTCTTACATTGACATGTCTGATAATTTCTCAGGGGTTTCTTCTCAATTTCTATATTGGGGAACCCAAGAAACCCAACGTGGGTAACAGAACTAACTTGTTTTAACTGGACTGGAAGCCCAAACAGCAACCCCAACTTACTTATGTGGTGGATGAACATTAACTATGATTTGAAATCTAGGGGGTGCCCAGTCTTCTGTCCCTCTGATCCTTGAGTTAAATTTAATTTCCTCTCCTAAATCCACACTGGATTCAAAGTCTTTTCCCACACGCTCTTCATTTACAACCTGCATAACAAGAGAGAATTTAGGAACTTAAACAAGCCTATTTTAGGAACTGAAATTAAAAGAGCACTCCACTGTATTTCCAACATTAAAATTTACCATGATAAATTAAAACTGCTTTCAACTGAACTAAAGGACATGGCAAGAGCCCTTCATGTAACTGAAGCCATCTGGAGAAAAACTGTTTCCAACAACACCCAGCTGAGGTCACTTTTCTTTGTTTGTTAGTTATTTTAGTATTTCATTTGTTTCCAGACTTCAAATTACTGCAAGTAGGTCACTGTGACCTGCAATGCTTTTATAGATAGCACTTTAGTAAATAGGCTGATAGATGCTGCCAATCAGAACCTCCTATGGTTGTCAGACTTCCCCAGAAACATCTTTCAAGACCATTCCCCTGCTTGGCTCCCCTCTGAACCTATTATCATTTAAAATCTAAACTCCTCAAATCAGCATTCTAGGTCCTCCATAGTTGGGCCACTAGTATTCAAGCCTTATTTCCCAGGATCACCACTGCCCTCCCCCAACCCCACCAACACACACACAGACAGGCAAACACATATTATTCAACCACACCAAACCATTCTGCTCAATAAACACCTCACACACCTCAGTGTCATTTTTTGCTCCAGCTGGCCTTTGCCTCCTTTGCATTTCCAGAGAGATTTTTCCCTACCCCTAGTTTATTTATTTATTTCCTTTTATTAAATTTATTGAGTATAGGGGGACTACTTCTATTTTAGCCTTTGCCACAAAGTTCTCTGTTCCCCATGAGCTGCATGCTGCCAGAGGGCAGAGTGTTCTATAGGGAACTGTGGTCAGCAGTTAGACAGGAGCAGAGCAAGGAGGATGGGCCAGGTACAAGGGGGTGCGGGGAGCCCCAGGTGCCTAACAAAGGACAATTGTAGGGTGGGACCTTGCCCCCAGGGTGACCTTTCCTTCCCTAGCATATATCTGGTCATGAGATTTGGACCAGTACCTCTTGACTTTCCCTCCCTAGAGATAACATCTATGCCTAAAGTTGTATTACAGCTCCAGGCCCAGATAAGCAACAAAACCAGCCACAACTGTCCTCAAGACAAGCTGCACTGAATAATGACCCCTGCCCTGGTCCTTGCCAGTCAATCAGTGGAAACCTAGACCCTCAAAGGACACACCTGGAAAATTGCTGAATATTCTATTGAGATCTTCCCCTGGGACCTCCCCTAAAATCGCCCTCAAAACCCTCAGGACAGAGGACCCTGCCAGCTCCAGGGACTCCAGGGACTCCAGGGACTCCACTCCAGCATGCTTTCCCTCCTTCTCATTTCCCTTTTCCCTCCTTCTCATTTCCCTTTCCCCTCCTTCTCCCTGCCCCAGGCACCTTACTATTCGCTTCCACACTCCCAAGCTCCAAGGGCCCTTCCTTTACCTCTATAAGTTGTTTCCTAAGCCCATTTCTTCTAGAAATTACTTTTTCTACTTCTGTAATTCACCCCAAAACTGTTTGGGTCTTGGCTCTGAATTCTTTCCTAGCCAGAACCCAAGTACTGAGGTTGTTGAACCCAGGTTTGGTCTGACCCCACCAGTCAGATACCTGGTGCCTTCCCGCTTCCTACAACAGAACCAGCCTGGACTTTCAAATTAGGCAGCATGAGGCATAACTCCTGCTGATACATGAGGAGTAACTAAATCTTACCTACAATAAGATTTTAAAAACTGTATTTTTACTGATTTCAGAGAGGAAGGGAGAGGGAGAGATAGAAAGGGGGTAGGAGGGAGGGATCTAGTCATATCCGAGGAGTATCTAAATCTTACCTACACTGACCAGCCCTGCTGGGTGTCTTGATATAAAAATGATAATAGCATCTACCTAATAGGACACATGAGAATTAAAATGTGAATTTCGGGTGCATAATAAATACTCAATAAATTTCAGATTCATCCTTCCTTTCAATTCCTCCCCCAACACCCAGTGACCATAAAGGAAACACATCCATGTCTGAAGTGAATAGCAGGCAAAATGTGAATTTAGGAATGTGAAACTTTCATTCAAAGTCAACTTTTTTTGATACTTACTATGGAGCCAGATGCATTGAGGGAAACTGCCAGCTGATAATTAACTTCTGACAACATCCAGCACTTACGGAATACTTGGTACAATTCTTTGGCTATTAGCTCAGCTGAATTGAAGTTTGGCTCATAAATAACACTGAAATGTAAGAGATGCAAAAGATTAACAATTATATTTATGAGGAGTATAAGGTTCTTCTTCAGATTTTCAACTATCCTTCCCTCTCCAAAAACTCAGAGGAGGCATCATAGAAGAGACCATGCATCAACCACGGTACCAACGGTTATCTTACTCAACACAATTCCTCCATGTTCAACAGAGCAGCTTTATTTATTGAGGGTACCAAGACTGAGAGGTATAGTGAAAAGAGCACTGGATTTAGAGTTAGAAGACCTAAGTTCAAGTCCTACCTCTGTTATTTAACAGCATTGTGCCCCGAGGCACACTGTGTCTGACCCTTAGTTTCTACATCTTTAAAATGGGGTTTTAAAAAAGCCTATCCATGAGGATCACATAAGAATGTATACAAATGTATACAAATGTCTTTTAAACACTATAAAAACATTGTAGGAACTTGAGTGGTGATTGTTACATTTCAACTAACTGAACTTGGCCTGAGATGTTCACAGAGGCCTGGAATTCAGTGTCTCAGAAGTGATGGCCCAGGGGCCTATGTGAAGGACATGAAAGGGAGATACCTCTTAGAGGAGCTGCAGGAACATCCACAGGTTTCTGTGGTATTGCTGAACTTTCCAAGTTCTGTGGAAAAATAGAAGAAAGAGTAGAGAGGTCTTTTAGTCTGTTTCACTTAATCACAGTCAATTTTATAAGCACACAAAAATAGCTCCCTGCATTTCAGAAAGAACCACTTATTCAGCATCTTCATACTTCAGTGTCTTTTGAGTTTCTATTATGAGGCTACAGCTAATAACCAAAGATGGAATTTCAAAATATACTCACCTGGCCTGGCCAGTGTGGCTCAGTGATTGATTGTCCACCTATTAACCAGGAGGCCATGGTTCGATTCCCAGTCAGGGCACATGCCCAGGTTGTGGGTTCAATCCCCAGTGGGGGGTGTGCAGGAGGCAGCCAACCAATGATTCTCTCTCATCACTGATGTTTCTTTTCTTTTTTTAAAAAAATAGCATTTATTGATTTCAGAGAGGGAAGGAGAGGGAGAGACAAAAAGGAGGCAGGAGGGAGGGATCTAGTCATATCCGAAGAATACCTAAATCTTACCTACAATAACAAATTTATCAAAGTCACATTTGCAGGCCTCTTTCACCACATCACAGTAAGTAGGTGTTTTAACAACTGGACTGACCTGTAACACAGCACAACCTAGAGAAAGAAAAGGGGGTTTCACCAACAAGAAAAAAAATACACAATCTGTAACATGCAACTATATAGAAGTTAGGAATAAAAAGGGCTAAGAATTTTAAAATTCAGCTTCAAGAATTTTCAGAAAAGCAAGTGTAGTAAGTAGCGAGAATGGCACCAGGTGTTAGATCAGTGGAGTCAGAACAAACCTTCATTCAGCAACTTCGGTAATGGAGTTCTGGCTAGGAAAGAATTCAGAGCCAAGACTCAAATTACAAGAGAAAATTTATTTAGAAAGTCATAGAGGTAGAAGAAGTGAGCTGTAGAAGAAATGAGCTCAGGAAACAAGTTACAGAGGAAAAAGAAGGGTCCTTGGAGCTTAGGAGAAAGAGAGAAGCCAGGAAAATGAGCCTGGGAGAAGAAGAGTAGGAGGGAGTGGGGAAAGGCACTGGTGTTGATTGTCTGGTTTTGCTGCTTCTCTGGGCCTGGAGCTGAAATACAACTGAGGCCTAGATGAACTTGATACAGGTCAAAACCTCACTGTCCTGGGAGCTTAATGCTTAAGGGCTAGTCTTTGTCCCCCTTGTTTGTTTTCCTTCTGAGGAGTGGGTGTCTAGCCCATATGCCTAGCAACATGCCATGGGAGGATGGGTCAGAGGAGGGCCCGAATCACATGACCAGTGTTATGAAAGGTCAGAGGGTCTAAACCGCATGACCAGCAATATGTTAAGGAAGAAAAGGTAACCCTGGGGATGAGGTTCTTGTTTTCCCAGTTTTATCCTTTACTAAACATCAGAGCTTTTCACCCTGGTGACCTTCTGTAGCACCTGACCCATTGTCCTTGCTCTGCTCATGTCTAACTGCCTACCACACAAAGAATTATTTCTGTTCTTACATTCACCATTACTAAGTGAAACACACTGAGTATGTGGGAGTTCATAAAAGTAATCTGTCTGCTTTTACATATGTTTGAAAATTCCAATAATACAAAGGTTTAAAAAATGGTAGTGGGGAAAGCAATTTCAGCTTCACAGAGAGGGAAAGAATATAGGTGGCATAAACACTGTACTGAGTTGAATAGTGTGGTCGCCCCCCCCCCCCAAAAAAAAATCATGTCTACCCAGAAACAGTGAATGTAGCCTTATTTGGAATTAGGGTATTTGCAGATGTAGTTAAGATGAGGTCCTACTAGAGTAGGGTGAACCCTAAATCTAATGACTGGTCATAAAAAGAGAGAAATTTGGACACAGACACAGGTATATATATATAGAGAGAGAACACCATGTGAAGAAGGAGGCAGAGAATTGGGTGATGTGTCTACCAACCAAGGAACATCAAGGATTACCAGCAACCACCAGAAGCTGGGACAGAGACATGAAGCAGATTCTCCCTCAGAGTCTCCAGAAGGATCCAGCCCTTCCCACAATTTCATTTCTGACTTCTGGACTCCATAAATGTGAGACAATAAATTTCTATTATTTTAAGATACCTAATTCATGGTATTTGGTCACTGCAGCCCTAGGAAACTAATAAAATATGTACATACTTTTCTATCCCTAATACCAGTCTGGGGAATTATCTTAAGAATGTCATTAAAAAGAAAATTTAATGAAAGGGGAAGATTTGGGGACCTGGCTGGATAGCTCAGTTGGTTAGAGCATCATCCCAATAACCAAGGTTGCAGGTTCTATCTCCATTCAGGGCAACCAATGAATGCATAAATAAGTGGAACAACTAATCAATCTCTCTCCCTCTTCTTTCTCTGTCAAATCAATAAATACTTTTTTTTTAAAGAAAGAAGAAGGCTTTGATCACTAAAGAGCTATTTGTAGTCTATTTAAAATACTGAAAGCTACTTTAATGCCAAGGAATAGGGAATTGATATTGTAAATCACTCTGTTAACTCAAGAAATAACGTAATTGAAAAATGTGAAAGTCATAACAACTTGAAAAACCGGATATGAAATACTGTTAATATAATCATACTAGTGTCCCAGTGCACGAATTTGTGCACTGTTGGGGTCCAGCCCCAGCAGGTCCAGGGGTTCCCAAAGGTGTGGACGGAGTCAGTGAAGAAGGAATGACACGGAGGCAGTGTTCAGTTGATCAGCATACCGAGGTTCTCTTTTTATTCTCCTGTTACATCTGTATTTATACCATTTGATTTTTTTAAATTAAATCTTTATTGTTAAGATTATTACATTTGTTCCTCTTTTTTCCCCCCATAACTCCCCTCCTCCCTATTCCCACCCCACCCTCCACCCTCACTACCCACGCACTGTCCTCATCCATAGGTGCAGGATTTTTGTCCAGTCTCTTCCCGCATCCCCCACACCCCTTTCCCCACCAAGAATAGTCAGTCCATTCCTTTTCTATGTCCCTGATTCTATTATAATCACCAGTTCATTCTGTTCATCAGATTATTTATTCACTTGATTCTTAGATTCGCTTGTTGATAGATGCATATTGTTGTTCATAATTTGTATCTTTACCTTTTTCTTCTTCTTCTTCCTCTTCTTAAAGGATACCTTTCAGCATTTCATATAATACTGGTTTGGTGGTGATGAACTCCTTTAGCTTTTTCTTATCTGTGAAGCTCTTTATCTGACCTTCAATTCTGAATGATAGCTTTGCTGGATAAAGTAATCTTGGTTGTAGGTTCTTGGCATTCATCACTTTGAATATTTCTTGCCACTCCCTTCTGGCCTGCAAAGTTTCTGTTGAGAAATCAGCTGACAGTCGTATGGGTATTCCCTTGTAGGTAACTGACTGTCTTTCTCTTGCTGCTTTTAAGATTCTCTCTTTGTCTTTTGCTCTTGGCATTTTGATGATGATGTGTCTTGGTGTGGTCCTCTTTGGATTCCTTTTGTTTGGGGTTCTCTGTGCTTCCTGGACTTGTAAGTCTATTTCTTTCACCAGGTAGGGAAAGTTTTCTGTCATTATTTCTTCAAATAGGCTTTCAATATCTTGCTCTCTCTCATCTTCTGGCACCCCTATAATTCGGATGTTGGTACGCTTGAACCTGTCCCAGAGGCTCCTTACACTATCTTCGTATTTTTGGATTCTTTTTTCATTTTGCTTTTCCGGTTGGGTGTTTTTTGCTTCTTCGCATTTCAAATCGTTGACTTGATTCTTGCGCTTCTCTGGTCTGCTGTTGGGAGTCTGTATAATATTCTTTATTTCAGTCAGTGTATACTTAATTTCTAGTTGGTCCTTTATCACAACATTGAGGGTCTCATTAGATTTCTTGAGGATCTCACTATATTTATCAGCGGTCTCACCAGTCTTTTCGAGGGCCTTACTAAATTTATTGGCAGCTTCTAGACAGTTCTTGAGAGACCTTAAAAGTGTGGTTTTGAACTCTATATCCAGCATTCTGCTTTCCTCCATTTCTGTCATTTGTGTCCTGTTTCTTTGTCTCCGCATTTTTTATGCTTTCTTGGTGCACCCCCTAGTGGTCTTTGTGTGCAGTCTTGTTGTAGTTAAGCCTTGATTGTTGTAGGTAACACTGGGGGGGATTTGACCTCCAGGCCAACTGGCTGTGAGAATCAGCTGTGTCTGCAGTGGGAGAACTTCTGTCCTGATCTCTAGGGAGGTGCTAATCTAGCCTTTGCCTGAGGCTATCCAGCAAATGCCTCTGTGCAAGGCTTGGGCAGGGCGGGTCCCAGGGGACCAACAGGGTGGGTGGAGCGAGCAGTTATGGCTGCTCTCAGTCCTGTCCCCAGAGGCTCTGCCTCTCAGTGTCCCAGCAACCACTGCAAGTACCTCAGAGAGAAAGCTGCCCTTGAGTGCCGACCGATGCCAGACAGTCCCGCTTCTCCCGTATGAGTCTGGGACCCTAGAGACTTGCCCGGAACTGGAGCTCAGAGCCTGAGACTCCCTCCCAATTGAAACAGACAACTGCACCCTCAGCCGCCAGCCCGCTCCGCACGCACCTCCGCACCTTTGTATTTTACTTCCGCACCGCACCTCCTCTGAGTCTTGGTATGCTTTTCTCTAGTTGTAGAATTTCCCCTCTTTCCTTCTAGTTGTAGAATTTCCCCTCAGCCAGCCTTCCTGTGGTTCTTGGTGATGTCTGTTCCGTCTTTTAGTTGTATTTTTGAAATGGTTGTGCGAGGCAGCAAACTCCAGTGTTTACCTATGCCGCCATCTTGGTTTCTCCCTATACCATTTGATTTTAATCCTATCCATTCTATTCCAAAGGTTAGGGCATTTGTTATGTCCATTCCAAGGTCACTACTCTACTGTCTGTTAAGCTACAAGGAAGTAACTGAAGGAGATTATCCTAAGTAAAGATTATGTAGCTTAAGCATGATTGTTCGTAGTTAAGGTGATTAACTACCGGCCTGTAACTTAGTTAAGGGGTTTTACTGATTTATTCCTTTCTTTAGTCCTGTTAATCCCTAACTCCAGGGAAAAATCCCTACATGGGGAAACAACCTTTCTTGGGGAGGTGGCCTTGGTTAAAACACATAGCGCTAAGAGGGGGAGCAAACATATTAAGAACAGTATGCCATATACGCCAGGTCCCTTGAAACATATGCTGTGCAGATGTTTCTTCCCTGCAGCGACTGTGTCAAGCAGCAAGGGTAGACCGGCTTCCAGCAGTGCACACTGAAAGGAAATTAATTAGAAGAAATATTTTAATATCTCTATTGGCGTCTTGCTAATGAAAAGGAAATAGGATTCTACCGAGTCTCCTATCTATCTACTCTAGGACTTCTGTGTGGATCAAATGAGATGAGGCACATGAAAAAGCTTCACAAACATTTGGTTAAAGTGTAAAATGTTTGCACCTGTCTATAAAGCAAGTTGGGTTCCTCAGCTGAAGAAACTCCAAGGAGGCTAGTTGCTAGGAAAAAGAAGCTGGGCGTTGCTACGTGACGTCATTACCCAGCACCCACAGTGACTGCTTCTGGCTGGGCTGTGGGCTGCATTTTGTACCATGGGGTCTTGGCAGCATTGGCTGCAATTTGGTGGGGTGTTGCTCCGGGGTGGTGGCGGGGCCAGTGTCCCTCTTG